TCTTTTTTTTTTTTTTGATTCTTTAAACTTTATTTAAGAGCTTTGCATAGAACAACACAAAAAAAACGTTTTTCCATTATTTCAATTGTTACTTTTTAGGTACATTTGGTGGAATCTGTGTTTTTGCGCCAACTTCGACTGTAATTGGTGCATAAGGCCTAATATAATATAGCGAAATAAAGCTAACAAGTAATCATAAAGAAAACTCTAAATATAGAAATATTAAAAAAAAAGGAAAGAGAGAAAAGCCAACAGCATAAAAAGAGAAAAAAAAATGGAGAAACGAAGGGGCAAAAACAAAAGTAAAAGAATTCATTTTAAGTGCTCTTTCATAAATTTTGAACAAAAGGAGAAAAAATCACAATTTGCAAAAAAAACAAAAAATAAACAAAAAGTTGGTAATCTTTTTGTTCAGGGGCGGAATGTAAAATTTTTTTTTCTTTTATCTTGTACCGTTTTCTATAGTTCACTTAATTCTAACAAAATTGTAAAAATATTTGCCTTACCAAAAATCCTTTTTCTTTTTTGCTTTTGTTTCATCTTTTAAATTCTGTATAACGTGCTCATTTTTTTATTCGCGATTATATTTTCTATTTGTTATTATTTTTTTTTTTTTTGTTATTTGTTTTTGAAACTTTTATTTTATCTGTTCTTCAAATGTGTGTAATCTAAAATCTGCTTGCACAATATTAAAAAGTTGTATGTATATAAATTTATAAATCTTTACATTTTTGATAAAGAACCGACCAAAAATAAAGTTATTTAACTATGAAGTCAACACGCTATACTTGGATTGAATATTAATATAAATCGTAAGAACAACAATAACAATAATCCAAGTATCTATTTATGTCAAAGAAATGTCGTTAAATGCAATAATAATTGTATGGTTATATAGACTTAAGTTATATTGAAATATCCGGATATTATGGTAGTCATTATTTTTAGTATTTTTCCAAAAAATTTTTGAAAAAAAAGTTTTTATTACTTTCACTTTGTCGCGGGCGCCCGACCGTGCGCACGGGTTTCTTTTTACAAAACTTTCACACCTTTGAAGGGAGAAAGCAGAAATTTCATATGTAAATAGATCTTCGCTTGAAACTTGTTTCCGTAGAAGAAAATTTTTCACTACTGCGTCATAACTTGGTTAATCTTAAGAAAATGAAAATGGCCGTTTAAATTAACCGTTATGTAAAATCTGTTTTTTGAAATTTTTGATACCCCTTTTCTTCTAGACAATTAGCTATAGGAGCCTGAGATTTTAACAGCATGTAAATATTACTAAACAGTTTATTTTATTAATAAGAACTTTTTTCTCTACCTTATTTCCCTCTCAAGTTATTGTCTCTCGAAATTTCTAAAATTTAAATTTTCGGCACTTACGTATGTTACTAAAACTGCAAGCTTCCTCAAATTTTTATACATGCAGAACGCTATCATGAAATGCCATAATTGTAAAAATATAAGTATTTGTAATGGTACGGCATTTACTAATTGTGTTTATACGCAATTGACCCTTGAAAACGATAATTATGTTAACGCCTCCTTTAAGTTTTTTTTTCTCATCCGGAATGTATGCAATATTTTTATACATAGTTGAGTAGAATCATTGAAACTAATTTAAATAATGTAGTTGTTATATTCAATAATGAGTAGATTGCTTTTAGAAGCTGTATATTCCACTTGTTAAAATAAAATGCTTTCAAAGTTTAAAAATAATATTGTTAACTAAAATTTGTGATAAAATTAATTTCATTTTAAAGATGGCCAATAATTAAAATAGAGTCGATTATTATCAATCGAAATAGCTCTCAAAAATTTAATTTTTATCGAATGACCATTTATAAGGAATTTTTCAAAGTCTTATATTAGGCAAGAAAAATGCGTAATTTAAATTAGGTTTATTGCTATAGGGTGCGTGAAGCTTCTTTATCCTTATAATTTTTAAATATTTTGCTTATACTACAAAAATTCTGTCTTAAATTTTTTTTTCTAAATATTTTTCTTTTTTAAAATTAAATATGGCTCACTTTTTGATTAAAAAAAAAGTAAGAGCTCTGAAGTTTTTCTCAAGGAAATTTTGCAACACAATTGCATTTTTTTTTAATAAATATTTGTATGAAATCAAGTTTTTTACGATCACTTAGAAAGTTTTAACATACTTTAAACAAAAAAAACTTTTTTTACCACATTTTAGCACTTATCAGCAAAATTTTAAATGCATGTTTTCTAAAATCCATAAAAAAAGTGTTGAATATGTACACACTTGGTTTTTCAATCGGACAAAAAATGGCATGGATAGTTGAAGATTTTCAAAGATTTTCTTTAGGGAAAAATTTACATTTTTAGTTTAAAATTAAACAAACAAATTTTTTTTCTGAATATTCACCATTGAATGTTTTAAACTTCTCTGAAAAATTGATTTAACTTGCAACAAACAAGAAATCGGATCAATGAAAGTTTTTTGTTTTTAAATTTATTTGAATTGTAAATTTTAACAAGACTATTGTTTTCATATTTTCCCATACGCTTTAAGCTCTTATTTTAATAACTTCCTCTATATGAATTTGAATTTTATTGAATATTTTTCTATATAGATTCTAAATATGAAAATTTCAAGAAGAATATTGAATAACAATTGTTATCTTTAATGACCATTTTTCTTGCAAAAAAATTCAAAAAAAATATTACTACACAAGTCATAAAGCAAAATGTTCGACTTACATGTACAGCAATCACGAGACCGGTGTATAGAGATTAATCGGCAATATGCTTACAAACCACAATGTAACGGCTCTACAGAACATGACAGGCTACTGGACTAAAGCATTGCCTTAGAAATCTCAACAGTCTTATCAAACCCAAAGAAAAAGACGATAATTTGTTTCATATTTTACATATATTTTTATAACGAACGTTCATAGTGATCCAAGTACTTCATTACTATTATTCTGCCAGACAGAAGTTCGAGGATATTATACACAATCACAGTCTCATAATAATATTTTCCAGGAAGAGGTTCCTCAGGCATATATGAAAAAAGCTTGAACGCATAGTGTGACTTTTTTTGAAAATAAACGTTTTCTAAATTTATTTACTACGAGTATAATATTTGTGTAACAGCAGCTGTAAAGTCATTTATGAATTAAATTAGGTTAGTTTGTTTTTGCATTTTCTGAGCTGTGTATACAATTCAATTCAATTCTATTCTAAATTTTACTCAGGGTACACATATGCCATGTCTGTTCCACGTCGTTGTTCCTGAGCGTTCTAAACAAAGTGATAAAACTGTAATACCATACAAAAGTTACGTAAATCATTCGGGTTTAAAAATCAATTTAGAAACAACTAAAAATTTTAAAATTTTCCTTAAAATAGAATTCAATAAAAAGAATTTTAGGTGTGTTTTAATATGCAAATTTTGAAGGTAATTAAAACTTAAGAGTTTTATATACTTTAAGGAAACATTTTTAGGGCTTTATTGTTAAAAGAAATAAAGGATATTTATTGAATTTTTTGAATAGAGACTTTTTGTTTAATTACAAAGTTCATTTCAGAATTGATTTTTTTTTTAATAACGAACAAGTGTTGATCTATTTAAATGATTTCCGTTTGAATTTCGCTATAAAGTGGTTATATTTTTACATTAGGTTCTTTAAGAAGGTGAATATATTAAATTCATTGACATGTAAAAGGCGTTACTAACTTTTTACCTTTTCCTTTATTTTTTCTAATAAAAGGAAAGAAATAAATAAAATAAATTTTTATCATTCTTTTTTTATTTTTTCGCATTTTCTGTATAGCTTACATAATTAGGAAAAATTAAAACAAATTTTGCTGTCCTTTGTTCATTTAAAAAAAGAATTGAATTATTGAATTTTAAATGAAAGATTAGAAGCCATTTTAAGAACTTTTATCATAAGTCATTTTGTTTAATGAATTTTTATTTGGGTTTAAATTTTGGGAATGAATAAAAACTTGTGCACTTAGGCAGACCCGTTCTTTTAAGTTTTAGTAAGAGAAGAAAATGACAGAGTGTCAAATTTTGAATTAAATTTTTGTAAACTGTCATATAGATAATATTGTTTTTTATTTTAAATTTTCAACTGAAGTTTATTTTCTAATATTTAAGTAATATGAAATTTGCAGTGACTCGCTTAACGAGTCTTACAATTTTTAAAAAATCAATACCAAACTAACCCTATACAGCTTTAAAAACTAGAGGTATTTTACGAAAAAAAATCAAGTAACGCAACCATTTTTTGGGTACTACGACACTATTGCCAGGACTAACATAAATAATAATAAATTGAAAACTGTTAAATTTGCCATACAATCTTGAGAAAAAATTAGTTTGCTCAAGTATTAAGAAAAAATTCAAGTATCAGACACATTTTTATTTTTAAATCACCTCCAGGAAATCCTCCCATTTGCTAATAATATCAAAATTTTTTGTTAACAATTCAACATATTTTTAATACATGTACACGTTATGGTCCAATTAAAATTTCCTGTGGCATAGAAAATATTAATATTTTGAGAAAGGATGATTTTAAAACAGATGCAAAAGTTTTCAAATTTATCAAAATCGCACAAAATTTATAATTTTATATAAATATTTTAAATATTGTAAATACCAAAACTCTAATTAAATTATTTTGTACATAAAATTGTAAATGATTCCTAATATTGCAAATTGGGCTCATAAAACCTCTCTGTGTTAGTAGCTCTGTAATTTCTTTAAATTCTATATACATAAAAATAATATGAAAAATTGCATTTCCCTGTAAAGCTTTCGTTAAAGTCATTGTTTATTTTCATCAAGAAGGCATTTACTTCGACGTGTTAGCAACAACAATAATGATATTTTCATTTTCAAAAATCGTTCTGTTTTCAATTTTTAAATTTTTCCTTTATTTAAAAATACAAAGAAAAATTATATTTTCAACATTTTTCTATAATATTCAATAATATTTTTATACATATTTTTTCTTTTCAGAATTATTATCGTTATCACTATAAATTTGGACCACTTTCGTTAATAAACTATTTTTAAGAAATCCAAAAATATCTTGGATTGTGCTCAAAGAAAAAATTTTTATTTTTAAATTGTTAAATATTTTATTTAAGTGAAAAACTCAAAGTTTTTATTAAATATGCATTTTCATAAACATAGAATGTAGAGTAAATGCGCAATACTAGTTTGTTACACAAAAATATAAATATATTTTATAAAAGAATTTAATTTTGGAACCTCAGAGAAATAATTTAATTTCGGTTTTTCAAGGTATGTAAAATTTTTATTGTATAATGTAATTTATAAAAATATTTTAAAACTTATTTTTGATTAATAAAAAATTAAATTTTTATAAAAAAAATGTTAAACAAAACATAATCAGGTTGTTAAAAAAATCAAATATGAGCTGCACTGTACATGTATGAAATCCACATTAATTTGTTTTATTAGTTGAACCGAAGTGATACACAAGATTGACTAAATGTCCTTTTATGTATGCACTTATTTAAAATTTTAAGCAAACAAAGAATCTTTCAATATAAGCGTCCCTTCAAAAATATGAAATTTCTTACAAAAGATTCTTACCTTTCAGGTTATACATAATATTTTAAGACAGTCTGTTCTCAAAAATATTTTCTCAAAAACTATAAAGTCGGCATATATAAAAAAGGTTCAGTCAAATTAAAAATAAGCAGACAATTTTCATTAAGGTCTGTTTAGACGAAATTAAAATACAAGCCAAACATAATTAAAGAAAGATCGACATCTTTATAATTAATTAAAAACTATTAATTTAGACTTCTCTTTCATTGAGAAACGAATTTCCACGAAAATTCGGCATGCCAAATCTTGGTTATTCTTTCATAATAAAATTTAGCGGTATATTTGTTTTACAATTATTGTAACAAGTTTTTTTTTCCATACTAAAATTATTGCAACTTTCAGAGTAAATTTATTTTGTAACAAACTTTAAATTAGCATACAAAATAGAAGACAACCCCAAAAAATTTATAAAGTTTGAATATCATTAACAAAGAAGAAAAAATATCATTAACTACGAACCCTTACCTCAAACCAATTTCTTGCCTGTGTAAAATTTTTTACCTTTTCACACGACAACTAGGATTAGCTCCAAATTTCAATCAATTATGGATATCTATTAATATTTTACATCTCCTCTCCCTGGTTTATTGTTTCACAGAGTTTTCAAAAAAATTTTCATAATATACACATTTAAACTTCTATTTAAATAAGTGATAAAGATTATTTTTCTTATAAAAATATTATTTTATTTAATTATTACTTTAGATAATCTTAAGTATAAAGTTCTTAAACAACTCAATTTATTTTGACGACTAGCAATAATTTTTTTTTTTAATAAAAAAAAATCCCACATAATCATTTAATATTGATTTCTTTAACCATGGTACACTGACAGAATTTAAGAAGCATTTTGTTGATGAAACAAATTGATAGTAGATATTATAAGATTTAGTAAAATCATAATGACTTCTTGCCATATTAATTATTTCAGAAATTTATGCTATAACTTTTTTCTGCTTTCGATTATTGTAACTTAACTATAATAACGCAAATCAAATGGTTTTATTTTTCAAAAATTTGCTATTTATTATCATTTTGTCTATATTGTTGTTCTTAGATTTTTTTTATAGTGTTCTATAAATTGTAGTATAGCATAGCAATATGTTATTTATAAAACAGTTTTATATATTCTATTGAATTATAACAGTTACATGTTTAACATTGTATATAACTTAGTTACAATATCAAATTTTAGTAAAAGCAACAAATTTTATTGCAAATAATAAAAAAAATTACTTACTCTTAAATTTAGTTTAAGTTTTTATTCATGCAGGCTTGAAATTGCTTAAATGAATTTTCTTAATAATTAATTAACCGCTTAATTATTAAAATAACCTCGTTAAATCAAAATAATTTCTAGTTGTCAAATAACCTTTTTTGGATCGAAAGGATTTGAGTATTCTACATACGAAAAATGTACTTAAATGTACTTCAATTGAATAACAAATTTAGTACATTTTCTTTTAAGTATATTATTTTCCGTATTCAACAACATGAGCACTTTACAATACCTTCGACTTTGACTTAACTTATCTTTATTTATTTTGAAAATTTTTTGAGAAAAGCGATTTATAGACAGGTAAAATTCTATCCATTTCTCTTGCGTGAATAATAAAAACAAAAATATATAGAAGAAAACTTTAAGTTTGGTCATGCATAATAATTTTTCTCATATTATTTCTACTAGATTTCAATATCATAATATTATAGTTGTATAATATACAAATAGCTTAGAAAATATTATTTACTTTGGAATTTTTAAATCATAAATCACGTAGTTACATACATTTAAATATACATTTATATATATATTATATATATATCATTATTTTCATATGATATATGTATCAGTACGATTTTTGTTATCCTATATATATATACGAGTATAGGCAATATAGACTATAGAGTATAGAAAGTTCATTGTTTTTACTTATTACATATACATATATGTATATTCTAATATTTTATTGTTAAAAGATAACTTTTTTACACTAAAATCTTGTATATAATTAAAGTTATACGCTTCATAATATCCCATTAATAGTTAAAAAGAAATTCAGAAATTTCTAATCATATATTCAAAATTTATTTTATTATTTCTTATTTTTACAATATAACCATGAATCTTAAACAAAAATCTATATATATATATATATATATATATATATTATAGACTATATATATAGTGTGTACATCTTCATATTTTGATTTTGTTATTAAACATGGCAACTCTCTGTAGAAAATTATTTAAACGTGTACAAATTATTAATAATATTCATTAATAATAATAATTAATATAAAAATGATTTCTTAACATCCTAATTGGTTATTTTTGATTTAGTGCGTGATGGTTTTACTCATCTCTCATGAATATATGTACGTTATTGTAAAGTGTAAGAAATATTTTTGTATACATAGATTTTTTTCATATTGGTATGTTCATAGGGTGATTTTGTTTATCAATTTAAAGAAAAATACAAAAAAATACTAAATATGTACGTTATTTTTATTTAAAAAAAAACAAAAATTCATGCAAATTTTGATAAAGTTTTCGCATTAATTAGGTCGCCAATTTGATGGGTTCAATAGTGACACAGTATTTTTCATTTATGATTATTTTCCAAAATGTATTGGGATCTATCTTGAATGATCGATATAAGCAAGTTATTCTTACATGATTAATAAATTGATTTTTTGCCCTAAAGAAAACATTTCTGAGGATAGATACAAACTGCTAAAAAGTACAATGGTAAACATTAAAGATTGTTTCCAGTTCCTGACATCTGTTACAAGTCAAGAGTAAGGTGTCAAAAATTAGAATATGAAAAAAGCATACAAGGCAAGCTATTTCCTGGAAATTTCGTTTTTTCTCTCAGAAAGTTGAATTTGTTTTCTGGGTGGATGAATTATTCTTTGCTAAGTGCATTTATCACTTTAAGCGGTTTGCTTTGTCACAAATAAAACAGGTTCTACTTGAAAATTCTTCTTAGGTTAATTGAACTAAATTCAAACCAAATATAAGTTTTTTATATTATGTTTCATATATACATACATACATATGTACATAATTAACATTATTAAATTTTGGTATATAAAAATAAATATTAGAAATTATCATGAAGGAGGCGATACTTATACTATGATTTATTTATATTCATTAATTATTATCTATAAAATTTTTCGTGCTAAAACAAAATATACACAATATACACAATATCATTATATAGCATAGTGCGTACTATCTAAACTAAATCATGTATAACATATAATAGTGTATAATACAATTTTTGTCTTAGTTATTCATTTTGTTATATTATTAAATAATTGCTAATAATATCTGTAATTAAAGACTTTTAAGATGTTGTTATTGCTTTATTTCTTAAAATAATTTCAATATAACAAGAAATAACTTCCTTTTGTTTTTATTTAATGATGACAGAAGCAAAAACAAAATGAATCAATTTAAGTAGATATTTTAGAAAAAGAGAGACAAAAAAAAAATAAAGCAATTGCTAAAAATTTTTATTTTTCTTTTATAAAGCTATAATGAATAAATTATTTCAAAATTAATATTCTAATTAAGAGAATCAAAAATGTTAGAAATTAAAAGTATTAGAAATAATTAAACACATATTTTCAAGGACTCTTTTCTTATTTGTATTTGATGAGTAAAGATAAAAATATTTTTTTTGTTTTTTGAAAAATAATTTTTAGCACATTTCCAACAATATTGAGAAAAAGTACGAAATAATAAAAATTAGGCGTTCCTTTCTGAATTGAGCGAGTTTTTTTTTTTTCTAAGAAGAGTCATTTTATTGAACCAAAAATCATTGTCATTTTATTTGTAATAATATTATAAATAAATTATATTTTAAATTACTTACATTATTGTAATGATATTCGGCGGTGTCACAACGGACCATACTGGAATATATGTACCTTACGGCAGCCTCGTCGTCCTAACCTAACCTACTTATTATATTATAAATAAACAACAATACAAATTTAAATTTGTTTGCCCTTATTAGTTTCGCTCTACCTATTCGTTCATCCGTACTCTCATGATCCAGTTTGTAAAATTTTTTTTATACAAATAAACAGGGCCAAGAAGCTTATTTTGCTAGAAGAAAATTTTTAATTTAGAGTTATAGTTTTCCAAATTCAAAAAACACACTAATTTTTAGAATTTACTTTGTCGAAATCATAAAACTTTTTTGAATTTCTTAAACATTAGAAAGTAACGAAATATTTTTCTTACTGCGAAACAGCATTTATGCAACTTTGCAATGGCAAAGCAACCGATAAAATGAACCGTCATCTTCAAACAATTTTTGTTTTTTCAATTTTTGGCATTGTTTTTTTTAGACGGTAAGTTTTGTACTTTCCTTCGAAATTGGTAAAATATTAGTTTTCAATATCACTAATTTTTCCGAAACTCCTTAGCTCTTTCAAATTTCCATTAAAACAAAAAGCCAACAAAATGTCTTACCATCAAAAAATTTTATATTATTTATTTTAATTGTTCTGATTAGTAAGCGAATTCGATTGATATGTATTTTTTGCAAAAAATCCTGATCCCAAAAGTATGCAATTTTTATAATAATTTAATGAGAATAATTTTAATAACAGATCAGTTTTATTTTTAGGTATTTTAATTTGTTGAAAGG